TTTGCTTTAACATTGCACTGTATCTATTGTTACCCAATCTCCCATCTTTATGTACCCAATCTGAACATCTTTATCATTGTGATCATTGCTGTTTTCTTATATGTGCTATCAATCTGTTGTATGGTGTCTATTAATCTTGTTTAAATTACCAATCAAGCTGTCAATGTAATCAATCAGAGCTTTAATATACCAATGTGCTTTAATATACTTACTAATCTCTCTCATCACATTTTTTTTCTTGCAATGTATTTGTTATCATTTTATTAATTCTGATAGAATTTACCTACTTAAAATTATCTGTTAGATTAAGGACCTGCCCGAAACGCTGCGCGTACTAGTGACTTTACAAGATTGTAAATACTGTACTATCCAATGTATTCTCACAAACCCAATGTACCTTCTTGTATATAAATAAATAAATAAATAAATAAATAAATAAATAAATAAATAAATAAATAAATAAATAAATAAATAAATAAAATCTATTCAGACCCCAACCCACATACACTAAATAATGTTGTGAATAATGAATTAAAAAAAGTCCACTTATGGATGTCAACTAACAAACTAACATTAAACATAGAAAAGACCTACTACATCTTATTTGGAAGCAAATCATCGAATGCAATTCAGCTACAGATAGACAACATTAACATCAGTAATAAAAATGATGGCAAATTTCTTGGTTACACTTCTATGCCCCTGGAAAAATACAGATGCATACCTTGGCCTTGAGGTGCCACTGTATGGTCCTGTTGTATTCAGACTCTGTCGTCAGTATAAAGAGAGGCTTCGAGCTCTCAAGGCTGTTGCAGGTTATCACTCAGGCTATGGTGCCAATGTCAGCATTGTCAAAATGATGTACCTTGCATACGTCAGATCTTTAGTGGATTATGCTGCACCTCTGCTTGTTTTGATGCCTGAAAGAAAGCTTGGAGGGCTTGAAAAATTGCAGAACGAAGCCTTGAGGATAATCCTTGGATGCCCTCGTACCACAAAGATACTTAATATGAGAAAGGAGCTTAATATTCCGAGCGTTGTTGATCGAGTTACTGAAATTAACTGTCAAATTGGTATAAAAATGCTTAGGCTAACTCATCCTAACCCTTGCACAGAAGCCCTCCAGAATTTCTTTATTGAAGATCAGCATTGTTCCAAATGGATAACTAAATCTGGAACTCAACTCGGAATGTATCAGGTTCATGATTTGTACCAAGAGAAACAACAACGGCACTTTCCTGCACCGTGGGAGGTTACACCCTTTCCATTTTTAATCCCTCCCTTTCCACCCAAGAAGCAAATTAGAGATCAGCCCAAGCTTTGTCTTGAGGCAAAGCTCAACGCCTTAAGCCATATTGATGCTCTGTCCACAGAGCATTCTCTCTCTCAAATTATATACACTGATGGTTCCCTACACCGCACCACGGGTGCAGCTGGAAGTGCAGTTGTCCTGACAATGGGTGATGGCTTGTACTTTGAGTGGGGAGTCCGTATAAACAACTGGGCTTCTACCCTTCAGACTGAACTATTTGCCTTGATCCTTGCACTGAAATGTGTACAAGTCTCAAAACTTGATACATTAATTGTAAGTGACCCTTTATCATCCTTAAATGCTCTCAACTCTTTAAGACATAACTGTAACATGCTCGTGTCCGAAGCTAGACACAAATACAACAAAATTATTAAGGATGGTAACAGAGTCCATTTCATGTGGTCTCCATCTCATGTTGGCCTCCGAATGCATGATAGAGCTGATAAGTTAGCCAAAGCCTTTAAAGGAGCCGTTGAGTGTAACCTTGGATTGTCAATGAGCAATCTGAGAGCAGCAGTACACCGAGAATTTCAACAAGATCTTGTAGATCTGAGGCAAAGTGAAATTGACACCAGTAATTCCATATATCATCATACTATCATGCAAGAGGAGCCACACATCTATGGACCATCCAATAAAGTCAGCAGACTTCTAAATGTTACTACTGCTCGGCTTAGACTCGGTTACAAGTATCTCTCGGAATTTTCATTATCTGCTGATGTAGACCTGACCAAATGTAAACTGTGTCAACAAAATTATTCGCACACCCTCCGTCACTATGTGATGGAGTGCGAAAAGATACGTGAATTTAGAGACAATTCTATAACCAATGTTCCAACGATGTGTAAATATTTCATTCAAAATGATCTGCTACCAGAAATTTTAGCCAAATATCCCCAGTTTGCTAACTGTAGGTAGTAACTGAGTGATTGTAACCTATCCACGCTGCCCACTGGATGGGGGGCGGTGTGCAGGACAAACATATCAATTGTGACACTAGCTCTCCACATATGTCAGTTGCTTAATTTAGAAACTGAACTTGTGGTCGATCTCGAATCCATTGTTGATGTGACGACTTATACTGAATTTTGTAACTTGCTTAGCTAAATGAATTGTGGGGTTCAGTCCCTGAGCCCATTATGTGCCTCTGTAACACTACCGCCCACAAGATGGGTATGGGGTGCATAATAAATGAATTAAACTGCTTTTGCTGATGGGCGTGTAAGATACTTGTAATTTCAGGGTACATATATAATAGAATATCATTGGCTAATACTTTGCATACAATAGGAATATTTAGTTTAATGAGATTGGCATCACTTCTACTCAGCCAGTTTGCATATAGGTTGCCCGCTGGTGCGTTGGCAACACTCTCTCGCCTACATACAACACTAGTCAGTTTTTCTCTAAGCAGTAAGGGTGATGCTGGGTCTCTCATCACCCTTACACAGAAGGTAGTACTGAACTGTTCAATTCTTTCACATATGGTTGAGAGTTTCAGCTCCTCCCTCATGCTGATGATTATTGTGCATCTGGCGGCTCCAAGAATTATCCTCATGGCTCCATTTTGAATTTTCTCTAAACTTTCAGCCTATTGCTAAGGAGACAAATAAGGTGCAGGGCATGGTAGTCGACTAGTGACCTGATGAACATCATGTAGAACATTCTCCCATATTTGACATTAATGACAATGTGCTGTCCAGCAAGCGTTTTAAGAAGACTTAGTCTTTAAGCTTAAACTGTAGTTCACTTACAATGTCACTATTAATATTCACACCGAGGTATCTGTATTGCCTGCAGTTTTCAATGCTCTGATCATTGACTTTAAAAACAGGAGGATTATTGATTTTGGGGAGCATAAGGCCCTGTTAGGTTTTACCTGTGGAGACGATAAGTCCACATTCAATACATTTACTTGCAAGTGCATCAAGGAGAGTCTGCAGCCGGTTGCCACTGTTTGCAATGACGCAAATGTCGTCTGCATAGCAGATGACAGCCTCGTCGACTTGTGTAGGTATGTCAGCTATTGGTCTATGCATCAGCACATTGAAAAGCGTAGGACTGAGGACGCCTCCCTGAGGTGTGCCCAATTCAAAGGAGGCATTATAGCTACTCTTAACCCTCTTATAGATGACTGCGGCGGTTCTATTACTCAAATAACCCTAATCCATTTCAACAAATCTCCCCGACATAAAAAGAAGCTATAGTTGCTCATCGTGAGTTTCCTACTAGCTGTGTCAAAAGCAGCTTGGAGGTGAAGAAAGGCTACGTGAGTGTTTGGTTCTTGTCTGATGAAGTACTCAGCAAAGCATGTCTTCAATGATAGAGAGAATGTGGTGGAGTAGTTAGTGATTAAAAACTCCCTTGTACTTCCTGTTTCTAGTAGCACTGTCATGGTTGGTGAGCCTGATGTTGCCTACCTTACCCTCAAGAAGGTCGTTTATTAGCTATCCTGGACTTCTCCCTGCAAAAATGTAAGGTGACGTAATCATTGAGTGAACAACATCAATGGGGGAAGGGAGATGTCGCTCCTTGCATAGGTGGAAAGGAGCACGTTGAGCCATATGTGAGTTTCTCGGTGTCAGTCGTTCCTGATGGGAACGACAGCCTCACATACTTATTTCTTGAGGCTACAGGACTCTGAGACCGTACACCTGGGACACGAGACCCTCCCTCAGGTAGGTTGTGGGGCGCCCCAGGGAGTCAAACTAAATCTGTGTAAACACACTATGCAAATCAAGGGACCTAGTCTATGGAACTCACTCCCTAACGAATTAAAAAGCTGTCCAACCTACACCTAATTCAAAAGTAAAAACAAAAAGTACATAATTTCATCTTGATAGTTTCCTACCTAATGCTTCAAACTCTCACTGAATCTTGTTCTACCCATTCCCCCAAAATATGTGCCTAAGCCATATAACTTCACCATTGTAATCACTGCTATCATTTTATTTCATGGTTGTTATGTTGAACGCAAATTTTACTATAATGTACCTAGAAATAATCCTCAAATTATGTTACAATGCACCTGCTGATAATCCTCAATTTTTACTATAATGTACCTACTAATTTTCAGTTTTATATTTCATGTTCTCTCATGATTCCATGTATGGCTGGTTGTCCTGTGAGGTGAGAATGTTGGATGAGCTTGTAGCTCATTATATCTTGATAGTTTCAAGATGAAAATTTCATCTTGATTTTCTGGATGAGCTTGTAGCTCATCCAGAAAATCGTAAAGTTGTTTAGTCTGAGTTGAATTGTTTTTGTAATGAGACAGGTATTTTCTCCCCTGATTCCATGTATGACTAACCATCCTGTGAGATGGGAATATTAGATGAACTTATAGCTAGTTTTTGATCTAACTGTGTAATCTTTCATATAGAATAGGGTAGCAGCGCATTGCTGTGTATACCTAAGTTTGTTAATAAAAAAATAAACACATTTTCTTCAAATTTTCTTACAGTGTACCTGTTAACATTTTTCAATTTTGCTTAAGAATCTGCCCGAAACGCTATGCGTGTTAGTGGCTTTACAAGAATGTAAAATCATCAATGATGTAGCGAGTACAAACAATATATTCATTACAGTTTCTCATTAACTTAATGGCATAACTAATTAGCACTAATTACACAAGCTTTAATCCTATCCCTATTTACAGGTAACATTCTTTCCATCCTGGTTCACGTTACGGGCTATTCATGCCCGTGCCACCTCTGGGGTGACTTAGTCTTTATATCAATCAATCAATCATCCTGGTTGGAGGAAGCTGAGGTGTAGTCACCGAATATAAGCAAGCAAAAAGTGAATAGAGGACACAGCCCCACTTCTGTCCCAGGTAAGTCTAATACGGGCTCACCATAGCCCGTGCTACTTGAAACGTTTTTTTCCGAGTAGCTTTTTTTTTTTTTTGCAGGGATATTCCTGCGCGGGTCCTGAGCCTCTGGCTGGCCCACTAAGTGTTGCTTGTTTCTGTTTTACTTGGGCGGAGTATGAGTATTTATTACTCGTATGGTCGCTTCAGTACCAGACTCGCCCTCGCTTCAGTAAGATTTTGCCCCATGTGTTTAACAACTTCTGCTCTGTTGAATCTAAGTTGAAATCTTAATGGGTTTGTAACTGTGCACTGTGTTAGATAATGTTCCAGTGGTCTGTCGGGCATTTCTCCACAGTGCTGACATTTCCTCTCATCTTCCGGAACCTGTAAGCCTATTTCCCATGCACATGGGTATCCAAGCCTGATGCGATGTAAGTGTACTTCTGTTGCTCTACTGCTCCCTTTCATCAAACTAAGTGGTTCGTAGTTGGTTGAATTCTTGTACCAACCCGCAGATCCTGATGTTGCAACTGCTGTGTTGTGGTCACTGTACATCTTTTGCATTGCTCTGTTTCTAATTACTTTCTTAATCTGTGATAGACTCTGTGGTATGTAAATGTCTACATTTCTTCTCTTAGTTGCAAGTTTTGCAGCTTCGTCTGCAATGTCATTTCCTATTATTCCCACATGACTTGGCACCCAGTTGATAAGTACCCGTCGGCCTTGTCGTTTGAGTGTTTGCATTAATGATATGACATTTGTGATCAGATGGATGTTATCACATATGTGTTCTTGTTGCAAGGTTTCAATGGCAGTTCTCGAATCTGTATGTATGATAACATGTTGTCGGTGTTCAGCAAGAGCATGTTCCAAAGCCTTTTGAATGGCTAGCATCTCTGTTTGTAAAGTCGAACACCCATTTGAGAGTCTCCAACTATTTACAGAGTTTCCTGCTTTAACTGCAGCTCCGGTTTCTTGTCCCTGCTGGTCTACTGATCCATCTGTGAAGTATGTGAAGCTGTCAGATGCCAAGTTTGCTTCTATATGCATCTGTGCAATGTTACGTAGCAGATGAGGATTAGTCTGGTTCTTTTTTCCTTCAAGAACCATAATCTTAAAGTCTGCTGGCAGAGATTCCCAAGGGGCTTGCATAACAAAGTCTGCATGTATTTCGTCGACACCCCTCTCAGTGATTGTGTTTGTTATATCGAATGTATTGATGGTGTTTATCACACAATGGGTCCACCTGTTGCTATTGGACATTCTTCTGTCCAGAATTAGTGCTACAGTGATTATATCTTTAGGTGAACTGATTCTAGGTCTAGTCAATATCCTGGTCGGCATGCACGCAGCAATCCCTTTTACCTTAATTTCAATCGACGTTAGCATGGTTTCTGGTCTTAGGATCTGGGAGCTCCTTTTATGACTCGCATTGCATCGATCTGAATAACCTCAACATTTGCCCACTGACCACGAGAAAGAGTGAGTAAGGCAGGTGCTGTATAATCAACTAGGGGACGAACGGCGTGTATGTAAAACATTCTTAACACTTTGTGTCCTGCTCCTAGACAGGGCCCTGTGATTGCTCTCATTATATTTAGTCGTGGTTTCGCTTTCTCCTTCAGATATTGAATTTGCTTGTTGAATGTAATTTTAGAATCTATCCACACTCCGAGATATTGATCTTGCGTAACCCACTGAGGGTTAATGTCCTGAATGTGTAGGTGCCTGTCTAGAGTGTTACCGCCTAGTCTCATTGCCTTGGACTTCTGTGCAGATATTTTTAGCCCTAAAATGCTGCATTCAGATGTTACTTTATCTAATGCACCTTGTGCTTTATTTAGAAGTGAAGGACCTGTAATGACCAGTGCTATATCATCAGCATAGCTTAGCAATTTAAACCCTTCTGCCAATGTCATGGAAACGAGATTTTCCATAAGGATGTTAAATAGACTAGGACTGAGGACTCCTCCTTGTGGAGTCCCATTCTCATGCAAGTGGTAGTCCGACACTTGTCCTTGCAACTTTACTCTGGCATACCTGTGACTTAGGTAATCTTGAATCCATGCTAGCATATTTCCCTTTACACCTTTTTTAACTAAGGTGTGTAAAATTGCTTGCGGGCTTGCAAGTTCGAATGTTTTTTCTAGATCAAGGAAGATCACTATAGCTGGACCTGAGTTAACTGTTCCTAGTAATGTTGCTATGCAGTTGGCAGTACCTACTCCTCTAGTGAAGCCAAATATGTGTTTATGCAGGTCTCCAGTCTTCCACAGTAGCCTATTTAAGACCATCCGTTCTGCAGTTTTACTAATGCATGATGTTAATGAAATGGGTCTGTAATTGCCAGGTTCTTTCGGCTTAGGAATCGGAATGATGTCTGCTTTCTTCCAAGAGGTCGGTAGTTTGCCTTGCTGCCAAGATGCATTGATAACGTCCAATATTCCTTGTTCTCCAGCAGGACCTGCATGTGCGATCATTGAGTATGTAATGTTATCAGTACCTGGTGCAGTGTCCTTACCACCTTTTTTGGCTCTGATTAGTTCTTGTTTGGTAAAGGGACAGTCACATTCGTCATTTGTAGCTATGCTCTCATGAATGGCTGTCAACCTCTCTTGTTTTAATTGTTCTTGCTGCCTTCTGACCATTGCAGGAAGCTGATATGAAGCTGTTCTTTCTGCAAATTGGAGAGCAAGTCTCTCAGCCTCCTGCAATGGTTGAATACATGCCTGTGGTCGGGCTGGTCGACCTGATATGGTTTTAATCTGACCCCATATCTTGCCAAGACTACTATGTTCATTTAGAGTTTGACACCACTCAAACCATCTTGCCTCCTTTATTTCTCTAGAAACTCGTCTTGCTTCAGATATCACCGCTCGTAGCAGAGTTCTTCCTTCTGGTGTGGGGTTTCTCTTTAGATGTTTTCTGAAGATGTTGACTCTGTGGTTCTGTTCTTTAACTTCATTACTATAGAACCAATAGTTCTTTCGTTTTGTGTTTCCTGTGATAATGATTGGAATAGCTTTGTTTGCAGCAGCTGCAATGGCTTCCTGCAGATTGGTCTCGTGAATGTTCAAATCCTCAGGTGGCGTGTATGTTGCATACCATTTTTCAAGTTCCTCTTGGTATATATTCCAGTTGGCTTTTTTAAATTCCACCTAGGTTGTGCAGGTGGTATAGGAGGACGTTCTATGTTTAGTGTTGTGACAGTAGCATAGTGGTCACTGGTGATCACCGGGTCTACCTCCCACTTCGCCTGATGCTTGAGTGCTGTTGAGATTAATGTAAGATCAAGGGAACCTCCTTGAATGTGAGTGGGTTCCCCAGTGTTGAGAAGTGTAATTTCAGGTACTTCTCGCAGAGCTGCAGCTAAATGGCGCCCATCTGCATTGGCTGGCCCAGTCGCACCTAACTCTTGATGATGAGCATTAAAATCCCCAGCAATAATTACATTTTCATGCGTGGCCAAGGCAAGCACTGCCTCTGCTTCTAGTTTACGTCTAGGGGGTTTGTAGACGTTGTATATGAGGAGCTCAATATTAGCCATATTCACTGTTACTGCTAATACCTCTACTCCATCCCCACATGAAACTGGGTCTATTTTCTTGCTGGGTATGGTGTTTCTGACTAGGGTCATTAACCCTCTTTGTCTCCCCTGTTCATACGGTATAATATAGTGCTGATATCCAGCTAATCTGAAGGACTTCGTGGCTGGGAAAAGAGTTTCTTCCAAAACGATTATATCTGCTTTCGTGCTGATTGCAGCTTCCTGAAGGGTGTGGTTTTTATTTCCAAGACCTTGTATGTTCCACTGCAGTATTCGTAATGGCCAGACGACGGTTTCGGTTGGTGTTGCCTGTTCTAGTAGAACTCCTCTTCGGAATCGACCTCTATATTCTCCACCTCGCAAGTCGTGTCGCTGCAAATCGGACTGCACTGATTGCTCATGGTCATCCCCTGCATTGTTGGAATCTGTGCATAACTTTGGTCCATCGCTTTGCTGTTGGTATTGCTGCACATCGGACTGCATTGATTGCTCGTGGCCGTTTCTTGTGTTGTCGGAATCTGTGCATCTCTGCCATCCAGTATTTCGTTGTTGATGTTGCTGCATATTGGGCTGCATTGATTGTTCATGCCCGCCTCTTGTGTTGTTGGAACCTGTGCATCTCTGCTGTTCAATACTTCTTTGTTGGTGTTGTTGCATATCAGACTGCATTGGCTGTTGATGTCTGTCTCTTGTGTTGTAAGATTCTGCTGATCTTGAGTGGTCACTGCTTCTTGCAGTTGTTTTTTGACTGTGGATGGTGTGGAGTCTTGACCACCTGACTGTTGTTGGTAATCTATATGTTCATGTCGCGTTGTTTGTCCTCTTGTGCCTCGTCTTGTCTCAGACTGTCTATTTCTTGTGTAACTGTGGTCTGCTGCACGATCTTGTCCATTATTACACAAGTGATTTCTTGAGTCTGTTGTTGTGAGGCGTTCTGCGTCATCTGTGCCCTGGTGACTCTCTATTACTCCCTTATCTATCCATATCTCAACTATGGTATTTGTGCTTGGGGCTCTACTACCCAAAATCACTTACGTCCTCTAATTACTCAACACAAAGCTGCTATCAGGACAATATCCAATTCTGGCCCCAGACATCACTCGGTACCCCTACTCAAATCTCTGAATATGTTAGACATTAAGTCACTGCACATTCTCTCATGTGTATTATACATATATAAAACGCTAAACTATAATGCCAATCCTGATCTCAAAAGCTTCATAGAAGGTTGTAACAGAACCCATGAGCACCACACCAGAAATAAATACAGTTTTGATATTCCTAGAGTACGACTAAATCAAACCAGAAATGCTCTACAAATCAAGGGGCCCAGAATGTGGAATGACCTTCCCAACCATGTTAAAGACTGTACCTCTCTCAACCAGTTTAAGTTAAAAACGAAGCTATACCTAATAAATTCCATGTAACCCACCTTACCCCTCTGTTGTCAACCCATGTATGTTTTTGTTTTTTT